GATTTTTTTTTGCTGCTAAATGCATTATTGACTTTTACATTTACAGGTATCGTAGGGCCATCTTCTATTAAAATTGTGGTTAATATTAGTACGATTCAAAGTAAGCAAAACATATGCTATTGACACTTGAGTTTCTTTCTGCCTATCGTTTTAAATTGGAACGCATTTGCTTTTTAAGTTCCAATTATTCTAAAAACTAGTAGATGAAGTGGGCGTTTGGACATAAGAATTGTAAAATTCCAAAAAAAAAAAAAGTGAAATTTTTTAAGTAAAAATGGTATTTGAAAATTAGAGTTATATTTGGACATGAATATAATTTTGGGTTGTTTTAGTTTTGTGAGTTATCTGAGTGAATATTTTAAAAAACAGCTCTTTGGAGTTTTTCAATTTTCGAAAAATTCCAAAATTCATATTCAAGTGAAAATTGAAAATTTTATGGTCAAACACTAATTTCGAAAAAAGTAAAATTTTTTGGAAAAAAGGTGAAAAAAATTTAAAGCTTTCTTTTTGCATACTTTAGGTTAATTATAGAATCAATCTAATGTTATTTTAGTTATGTAGAGATTATTTTTTAAAATTCTTCCAACTATATATTTTATTATTTTATGTGAAATTTTATGCTAAGATTATTTTACCTAACTCCTTCAACCAAACGATACAGTCTTTAACATGAACCTCAAAAGGTAATTTTAGTAAGTTTCAGAATTGGATGTAACTTATTCAACGTGACAAAAATTCTAAAGTATAGTTTTGTGGGGAACAACTTTTTCAGCCATTGTATCAGATTCTATATAGCTGGACAAAGCTGCTAAATGAAAAAGTAAAGTGGTCCAAAAGAGACCATCAAAGGATGTGGTACAACGGATGTGATTGTTGTTATTTTAATTAGAGGTCTCGAGTTTGAACTCTGAGTATGAAAAAATCCTTGATATAGAGCGCTTCCCTCCAAATTATTGGTCCTACGCGGTGCGAATCAGGATACGGTCGGGCTCAAATATGGATACCGAACACCGGATAGAAAACCAAAAAAAGTTATCTAAAAGAGAAAGGAATAATTAAAGAAGGAAAAGGAAAAGGAAAGGAAAGAAAAGGAAAAGCAACTGATGAATTAAATGGAAATAAAGGAAGAACTTCAATTTTCCTATTAGTAATTCTTAATCTTCTTTTTTTTTTTCTTTTCTCTTCTCTCTTTATGTTTGTTCTTTTTCTTGAGTGTCATGCCAAACTCCAATAAATTAAGAAGGATAAAGATTAGCTTTGAATATAAATGGCTAACCACTAAGAAGTCTAGCCTTAATGGCAAAATGAAATGGTACAAATTGCAGCAATGGGTATGTACACATGTTAAATGAGAAAACAAATTCTTAGTTGATAGTAGTTGGCAATTGAAAGATTTATGAGAAACACACCAAACGATATAGTGACAATATAAATGAATTTTACTCAATCAATGCAGTTAAAATCAGTTATATGTAACTCTCTATATCAAATATAGATTGGTAACCTACACATAACACAATATTATTGTAAATGACGTGTTACAACAGGTAAAACTATTGAAAGTGTAAGAATTTATTTATAGATAATTTAAATCCAAACTGAAAAAACATAGTAAAAGAAGACTTTACCAAATAGCCATGCTCTATTTTCATGATATTTGCTTTCATTATCAAGCACTTGAAGGTGGAATGCAACTCATAGAAGACATAATTGGTTCTCCTTGTCAAGCATTTTGACAAGATTAAATTTTCTCAGCTTTTCCTCGTAGGTTGCGTCGAAGCCAGGAATTTTCTCAAAAATATTCAAACTTGAAAGAAGTGAAAAAAATTTCCAACAAAGAGTATTCAATATATGTTATATACCTATAAAACCTAATGTTTTACCTATATACTCAGTGTAATTTTTCGACGAAGGGTGTCAGTTGACCAGTGGCGAAGCCATATGGTCACAAGTAGGGGTGTCAATGGTTCGGTTCGTCCAGTTATTTTATAAAGTTTTTACCATACCAATTTTTCAGTTATTTTATTATATATAACCAAAATTAGACTTTTCAAAACCGTCCCAATTACGTCGGTTTCTCTTCGGTATCGATACGTTCGGTTAATTTTCGGTAATTATTTTAAATGTCATGTAAAAGTCACTAGTAGAAGTAGAATGTAATAATATACGTACTTTTATAGGACTTAGCAAAACTCTCTAAATATTTTTACGATTTAAAAGGTGGATAATTAAGAAAATATGAAAGATAGCTAGAGTATAGATCCATCAACTATTTTACAACATCGTAAAAGAAACTAAGCACAAAATATAAAAAATGACTAGAGTATAGATACATCAACGATTCTACAACATCGTAAAAGAAACTAAGCAAATACAAAAAAATATTAATTACACGAGTGGAAAGATATTAATCAAGTTGGGATTCAAGAATAAAGTGTATAGAAGATTAAACATCCAAAAAGATAAATCTAAATCATATGAAAGGAAACATTCAATACATTGTAGTTTGCTACACATAGTCGCTACAATACATTGTGTCTTGCTAGTGAATATGCTGGAAATAATCTAGTTTCAATAGAAGTAGCATAATAGGTTTGAAAATTAGGATTTTGAGTTTAATTACTAGTTTGCTTGTAACTGTTTCATAATTCCAAGGTCCAAGAAAAAATTCAATGCTTTATTATTTTTAAACTTAATATATAAATATATTTTCACATTATAAATTTATTCGGTACGGTTCGGTAATTTTTCAGTTTATTTTCATAAAATAAAAAACCCTACCCTAATTATCGGTACGGTTATAGATTTATATAAAAACCTACGGTTTTATCAAAAGAAACCTAAAATTCGATTCGGTATGGTACAATTGAGTCGGTTTAATCGGTTTTTAAATATCCATTGACACCCCTAGTCACAAGGGTGGTCACTTCGTTGAAAAATTTCACTGTGTATATAGGAAAAATATTATGTTTTAGAGGTATATAACACATATTGAACACTCTTTGTCGCGATTTTTTTTTTATTTCTTTCAAATTTGAATACCTTTAGGAAAATTCCTAGCTCCTTTCGGACATGTGGCTTCGCCCCTGCTTGTAGGGGCAAGTTTCTAGAGCAAAAAAATAAAGTCGTTAATTTTAAGTGAATTAGTTTTTTTATATATCTATGTTAAATTGTTATGATTATTGGCAATATACCTGAGTAAAAAAATTCACACATTTAAATCATGAAAGAAACAATTTATAACCACTCGTATTAAACATGCATCCCCATCCGCTTTTCAAAACTTGAGAAATTCAATTTTTCCTTTTAATTAATAGTACTAATATTTCTACCACATTAATTCTTATTGTTGATATTTCAACAAGAAGATGTAAGACGAATATCTTATATATCAAGTTGATTTGACAAACTCGAAGTCTTTATCCCAATGTGTGTGTCTTAGCTAATCTGTGTACAAAGTCAACTTGAGCATTAATGTAAATACTATTCCTCCTGTCCATGATCAATTTACTTTTTTGGGTTCAAAATAAGTGTTAGATTTATATAATCAAGAAAAAATTTAATTTATTTTTTCAAGATTATTCTTATGTAGGTATTTCTAAAAAATCATTTACTCCTCACATTTGAAAAGAAAAGTGTTACTATAATTATGGTGCAACATTTAATAAAAGATAGTTTACTCACACTAACTATTTTCGTCTAGAATTTAATATTTCCTTAATGAATGTGTTCAAAGCAAATTGACCACTTATTATGTACCGGAGGGAGAACTCCCATATTATTATGCTAAAACCAACGCAAGCAAGCACAAGTGATATCATTCATTTGCCGTAAACCATCCAGTTTTCAACTCTATTATTTTGTGCTTATATATATATATATATATATATATATCCCTTTTTTAAAAGAAAAAAGTTTTGCAGATAATCATTCAATTTTCAGTTTATTGCATCAAAGTCATAAAACTAAATTCTAAGACGAAAAATATAATTCAGTCATCTCTATACATCATAGAAACTAGAAAAAAGGCCAACCAGGAGCGTAGCCATCTTGCTTGAAGCGGTATCACAAATTATAAATAAAATTAAAATTTTGGATATAAATATAAAAAATGATATCACTTGCCATTACAATAATTTATTCATTTGTTCAATTATTGACATCGCTTACGAAAATTTCTGCATATTCCGCTGACATCAACAAAATATTAAATCTGAAACATAAGTATTTTTCTAGTAGTACCTCAAATAATGGTAATTTTTCTCTGTTAGATTAGCAATAGTGATACAAATAGATCTCTAAGGGCATCTCCAACTTTTACCCTATTTTTGATCCCCAAAATAGAGATTTTTCCATTTTGGGGACAACTTACTCCAATCATTCCCCCATTTTTTTCCCCAAAGTTTTTTATATTCTTTTCTCTCTTTTATATTATATTATTATCTTTCATTTTAATTTTCATTAAACAAATTTCATCTTTTATTTTTATTAATTTGTAATTTCTATTAAAACAATTTCATAAAATTTCAAATAATATAATTTGTAAGAAATTATTATAGATTAACTAATAATTCAAATAAAAGTGAAATCATTGCGATACAAGATTAATTAAATACATATTACATAACGATAAAATTCATTTGAAATACTACATAAATATTCAACTTCAACCTCTAATAAAATTAACTTACAATTTTACGTAAAAATAATAAATACACGAAAATTAATTTATCAAAATTATACGCCAAAGTTATGATGTAAAAAATATTATAAAGACATTACATAAACATAATTATGTATATATAAAGAAATAAATTAAAAGATTAAATAATAATAAAAATATATGAATAGTAATGGGAGATGAATAGTGTACCCCATATTTGAGGGAATACTATTCATCCCCGATTTTGGGGACAAAAATTGAGAAGGATTAAAGCTTCATTACCCTAAAAATTGCCCCAATTATGAAGAAATGGGGTAAGGTTGGAGACGGCCTAACATGATCACTGCAATGGAATGACAATATGGAGGCCAAAACTAGGCTTTTTTTACAAGTAATTTTCAAATAAAAGCTGAAACACAACTGTGCCAAATTAATAAGAGCAATCACTGTAATAGAGGAAAATAAAATAATCAACTAAGAATATAGCTTAAACTCACTCTCATTCTTTTTTCTTTTTTCTTTAGGCCAATCACTGAGCATCATAGTGCATAAGGTATTGCACATTCACGCCGGGTCCAGAAAAGAGCCATATTTCAAGGAGTGTGAAGTAGACAGTTTAGCCTGATGCAAGCATTAACGGCTGATTCGACGACTCGAACCCGTGACCTATATATATAGTTACCGTTAATCAAATACTCCCGCCACTCTCATTCTTTAACATGAGTACTAAATTTGTTAATAATTGATTGCCTTTGAAAATCTCATATCTCGAAATAACAACCGAATTGAACATGACCACTGTACTCATCTGGAGTCTCTACTTTTATCCACGCTCTTACTTTTTCACTCATATCCAAAGCATAAACACTATGGAGTTCATCATATTCTTCATTTCCCACCAATATCAACTTCCCTTGACACGCTGTCAAATATGCCACGTTGGAAATCTGAGCTGGCAACCTTGCCACCATCTGCCACGTAGCATGTTCCTTCACGACCACGTCACCGTCTTGGCACATGTATAATCTCCCATCATCACCTTCAGTGCAAGTATGAGGAGAATTATTAACACTCAAGGAGTCATCTACAAAACTCCACTGCCACGTGGCAAAGTCGAACACCTCAGCATTTTTCTCAAAGTGACCTTGTGCCCACGTAGGATAACCGCCAATGACGTGGAATTTACCTTCATGAAACACAACCTTACATTCGTCTCTCTGCATCACCATGTCAGGCACTGTAACCCACTCGTCTTTCACGACGTCGTATAACAGAACCGACTTCAGCGCGTTCTTCTCGTCGTCATGTCCGCCGGCGACGAGGATGACCTGATCGGAATCCGAACCGCATCCGAAAAACAACCTCTGCTGACCTGGCATATCCGCTCCACGTCGCCACGTTCCGGATATGAAGTTGTAGATAAAAACACAGTCCATAACCCGCCAAGTAACCGGGTCACACCCGCCAATCACTACTAAATCGGATCCAACTCCAACAATCCGGCAAAAATTCGGCAACCCGTCAATCAACTCCGGTATCGGCGGCAAGTCGTACCAACAGCCGTTTTCCGGGTCACAGATGGAGAGACGGTAAATCTGGGTAGACGAGAGGGTAGTGTCACCCTGAGGCTTTTTTACAGTAGCAACCATAGCTTGGACCATGGCTAAAACGGGTCGGGTGAACCCGGAAATTTTCCGCCGTTTTCGAAACTCCGGCAGCGTAATCTCGCCGTTCCAGGTCTTGCATATTGAAGCTGCTTTAGAAAACTGGTCAATAGGAAGTCGTATGAGACATTCAATCGCTATGTCATTAGGTAGCCCTGGGATCAGGTCCATGGCTTTTGATTTGTATGATATGAATATTGCTATTAAAACTGTATAGTTTCAGAAGAAATTACGAAGTGAATTTAGTTGGGTTTTTTCAGTGTTGTAATGTGAGTGGATAAATAAAGAAGAAGGAAGGACATAAATTATGAGGCATGGTTTCACAAAACCGTAAGCGGATGTTTTTTTATACTGTTTTGCGCATGAATTGACAATAGGGACAAAACTGAGTTTACCTTTGGAAGAAATAACCTAAATATCCATCCCCAGGCCCCAGCCACTTAAATTAAATATAACTAATGAAGGTATATATATATATATATATATATATATAATGATGGATCCAGGATTTTGGGTTCGTGGTTGCTTTAACTTTTTTTCACATGCAGTTACTAATATATATATCAATCACATAGTATAATAAGTGCACAATTATTTGAATATGACGGTCAAAAAAATTAATAAAAAAATTCGTATTAATATTATAGATGCGTGTAAAGAAAAATGAGCGGGAGAGATTTTTTTTTTAATGGATTTTGCCACTCTAGAGAAACTATTTATTTGTAGAAGAGGACGAACTATGGAGTTTCTTCCTTTCTTTGTTATGGGGAATTATTAGGTAAAATAGAAAAGGAAAAATTAAAAAAGAGGAAGGTAAAATAAAATTTAGTGAAAAAGTAGTCTGAAAAGGAAATAAATAAAGTAATAGTATTGGATAAAAAATGTAGCTACTGGATTAGATATTTTCCTTCAAAAAAACCTAATTGACCCGAAAGAAAGAAAGTAAAATTGACCCTGTTAAGAGTACGATTCAATCTCTCAACCCCACACTAAGTAAAAGCACACACTACCCTTGCTTGACCGAAGCACCTATTAGTTCCTTTGTATTATGGGTGATTTCTTATTTAAGGCCTAAAGTTTTTTGTATAATTATACATATTTCGTGGTGGGTTAATGGGTGCTGAAACACCTAAATTATTATATGAATTCGCATATATATATATATATATATAATTAATATATAATTTACATATATCAATTAGGAAAAGTAAACAATAAATTAATTATTTATATAATTTTTTTGAAGCACTAGTAGGCACGGAGAATTCGAGAAGAGATAAAGGGGATCAAGTTGTGCATCTCTCATAGTCGACAAGTAGGGCAACTTGGTTATTACGGTTATAATCAAGATTTAAAATTGCTGTCTATTTATAGAGGATCAGAGGTCTATTTCCTTTGCTCTGATGGTAAGCAACCCCCACTTCCAACCGAGAGGTTGTGAGTTCGAGTCTCCCCAAGAGCAAGGTGGGAAGTTCTTGGAGGGAAGGATGCCGGAGGTCTATTTGGAAACAGTCTCTCTACCCTAGGGTAAGGATAAGGTCTGCGTACACACTACCCTCCCCAGACCCTACTAAGTGGGATTATACTGGGTTGTTATTGTTGTTGTTGTTGTTGTTGTAGAGGTCTATTTCCTTCGGTCCATAATAAGTGATCAATTTATTTTTTTATTTTGGTCCAAAATAAGTGTCTATTTGTATAATCAAGAAAGAATTCAATTTATTTTTACAAAATTACCCTTATGTACATATTCCTAAAAAGTTTTCTTACTCCTCACATTAAATATTTAATTAAGAGTAGTTTAGTCATTCTAGTTATTTTTGTATAGAATTTAGTATTTTCTTAATGAACGTGCCAAAAGTAAATTGGTCACTTATTTTAAAAAATCCAAAGGATTTTATAGTCTCTATTGTTTTCATTATTCCATATTTTTTTGGCAACACATCCCTTTCTGACCCCGTTCGTTACTGTTTACTGCTGGTCACTAATGGTTTCTTATTAATCTTAGTGGGCGTCTGGACATAAGAATTATAAAATTCCAAAAAAAAGTGAAAAAGAATTTCTAGTGAAAATGGTATTTGAAAATTTGAGTTGTGTTTGGACATGAATATAATTTTGGGTTATTTTTGAAATTATGTCAGTAATGAGTGAATTTTGAAAAACAGCTTTTTGGAGTTTTTCAAATTTTCAAAAAATTCCAACATTCATCTTCAAGTGAAAATTAAAAAATTTATGGGCAAACGTTGTTTTAAAAAAAAAAAGTAAATTTTTTTGAAAAAAAATGAATTTTTTTTTATGTCCAAACAGGCTCTTAGTCTTTTCATTATTTAATATCTATATATGTTTGCAATACATCCTTTGCTGACTCCGTTCATTGTTGTTTACTGCTAGTCAGAGATGGTTTTTTAGTCTTAGTAGGCGTTTGGACACAAAAATATGATTTTTAGAAGAAAAAAGTTAGTTTCTAGAGTGAAGTTGAAACAAGATATTGATATGCATTCCACTTGAAAAAATATTATAATTTTGTGAGAGGAAATAGAACTTTAAATAAAAAAGTATTTCACCACTTTTTCAAACTTGGAAACTCATCTTCAATTTTTTTTAAGAATTCGGTCAATGTATATCCAAACAAGCTTTGAAAAAAAAAAAATCGACAAATAGGAAAAAAAAAATTGTATGAACGGAGGTAGGAGTCTTCAAATCGAACCAAAAAACTGCATCAAACGAAAAAATCAAACTAAAAAGATTAAAAAACTCGATTAGGTTTGGTCTGATTTGGTTTGGTATTGAGTAAAAAATTTTGAACCAAACTTACATATAAATATATAATTTTATATATTTTTAAGACTTTATATAGAAATTCCTTTAAAACATATCTACAAATATTTGGGATCCTCCCATGAGATCTAATATTTAATAGAATTATGAAGTGCATTCATTTCTATTTATTTTAAATAATGGGTTATATCATCACTTTCTTACCAAGTGTCATTAAAATGCGTCAATCTCTTTGTTCTTTCATACTCATATGTCAAGATCTATTCCATTCTTATATCTTTTTTTCGAATTTGAAATGGTAGTTCGATAATTTTAAAATTAAATAGAATATGTCATTATTTAGGTTTCATATTTATTTTTATGTTCAATTATTAAACTCGATTAACCTTAAGCTTACATCAAAAAAATTATTGCTATAAGACTAAGAAAATAACTATCATGTGTTACTTACAAAATTCTCCCATAAGAATATATTAATAGATCATATGTTTGTCAGTTTTTTTTTTTAATTTTTACGAAACATATATTTACTTATCAAAACTTTATCTATAACTTTAACGAAGTAAGATTGAAACAATATTTATGTAACAAAAAAAAATCGAAAAATCGTCAAAACTGAACTAATCCAAATCAATATAATTGATTTGGTTTGATATTGATAAAACCGAACCAACCGGGTTGATGGACATCCCTAAACAACGGGAGAAATTCAAAAATAGCCAGATTTACAAGTGATCATTCAAAAATAACCATAGTTTCAAAAGTAATCGAAATTTTGCCACTTTTCATGTAAAGATAAATCTGAACGAAAACACTGTTCAAAATTCGAAAAAATACTCCAGCATAATATACTGGAGTTTCAGTATAATATACCGGTTCAGTATAATATACTGGAGCCAACAAATATGTCGGTCTAACATAATATGCTGAAAGTTCATACACAGGTTCATCGAACTCCAGTATATTATGCTGGACTGGTCTCTGTTGCAGCAAAATAGTAACTGTTTTTCAATGACTTGGCAAACGCTGACTATTTTTGAATGACCAATCTGAAAACTGGTTAGCCCGTAATATTTTAAACCTAAACAACGGGCAGTAGTCTTTTCATTATTTTATTATCTATGTTTGTTATTTTATCCCTTTCCTATCCGTTTTGTTACTGTTTACTCTTTTTTGGTATTTAGCTATCCGAACACGTGCGGCATGAATCACGTTAATGACGTATAACTCATCTAATTTTACTCTAGTGTAGTGTTATATGAGATGAGTCTCGATTGAACGAATCAATGGTATGACGATTCTCTTGTAGAAACATTTAACAAAATCAGAGAATTAAAAAAAATAAAGGGGATAATAAGTATGAATTTAGATAAAACTTAGCTGAAGTTGACAAAAAAATTGTGGATGTTGACATAATGTTTGAACATAAACTTCCTTATCTAAGTTGATAATTTGTGTGTGTTAAGTTGAAGATTGAAAATTTTCACTTAAAATACAAATTCGAAATGAAAATAATGTTATTTATATTTACAATAAATATTTCACATGAAGTCAAATTCTAAATCCAAAACATCCTTATCAATTTTCTTTCTCTTTAAAACTTCATTACCAAATTCGATTTGCAAATACAGTCAAACCTCTCTATAACAGCCTCGTTTGTTCCGAATATTTTTGGATATTATAGCGAAGTGATGTTATAAAGAACATATATTATAACATAACATAAAAATTGGTTCTGAAAAAGCTTGGCTTTTATAGTGAAGTGTTGTTATATAGGAATGTTGTTATAGAGATGTCTCACTGTATTAGTAAAGCAGCATTTGCGCATGAATTTATGACCTAAATATCTGTAGAAGGCGTATGCAACATTAAGGTGACAAATTCAATTGAACTCATAACTTTTGATGCAGAGCATGGATTTATCTATAAAAATCTATTAAACTTGCAATAAATATATATTAGTAGATATGAACCCATATCTAATGAGTTCAATACTAAAAATCTTAAAGGTTGAACATCCGCCTCCGAATATGTGCACGTTTATTAAAATGATCAACCCTGCTTGCCTATTTTACATTCTTTCTCATAACCATTTTATTCAAAGGCTAATTAAGGCATGATCTATGAAGTATGAGCATGCTGCTTAGCATTTTGGAGCCTCAAACTGACATAATATAATGATTTGGTTGCTTCAACTTTAATAAGTTAAAAAACATTTTATCGAATTATTTATTAACTTAGTCTAACTTCTTCTTTTCCACATTACATTCTAATATACGCTATTAGTTTTCAGCACCTTAAGTGATGCTTTCATAGAATCAATATGACTAATATAATCCTTGCTAATGAAATAGGAAAGCTATGCTAACATTTATTTAAATGGTATGCGTACGTTGACAGTATCTTACATCCATTTCACAACTTTGGCGTTTAAAAAAAAAAAGGCAAACAATTCACATTATTACATCAAAGGCGATATATATTATATATCTGCGTTTTTAAGTTCCAATAGACGAAGATATAGCTTGTTTGAATAACCAATGCTTAGAGTGTTTGAAAATCGATTCAAAGTCGGAGTGGGAAATCAAATTTAT